TTCTGGCAGTGTGTTTACTGGAGTTGTTGATGCACAGTATGCTTACTAGAGTTGTACACATGCTGGCGTGAGGCATTGTTCCCTTACCAGTCCGAAAGTTATACCAGTTAAACTCTGCCATTTTGCCTCTTAGTGGGCATGCTTAAGCCCACTTGCCCAATTCTTGATCTTATCAAGAATTGACAGAATCTTATCAAGAATCTTATAGGATCCCAGTTCTCGAGATCTTATCAGGAAGCTGCTGATTACCAGTTTCAGGTGTTTCTGTCCATCGGGAGACTGCCTTTCCCTGGCATTTACCCTTTTTATAGATCTGTTTCAATTTAGTGTCATTTTCCTTCTACCCAAAAAGCTTTCTTTAATATTTTTGTAGCCTTTGCATATGCCATTGCTTCTGCTTGAAAAATGCTCTTCCCCACTACCTGCATGGTCAGTTCTCTCAATCCTTTATGTAGTGTGCTCGAATGTCGCAGTCTATATGGGGTCCTTTAACCATCTTTCGATATTGCAATGCTCTGTCCCCGTGACTCTCTCTGTAACCCCGCCTTACTTTATTTTTCTTACAACACTTAATATCTGATCTGTCTGGTAGTTTGGTAGTTTCCCCGTCATTAGAATGTAAGCTCCATGAGGATGGAATTTTATTCATATTTTTTTTCCACCCATATGACTATACACCACTTCCTAGTTATGTTACCAGCTGAACGTACCCCAGTCACACAGCACCAAAGTATGTAAGAGGCGGTGAATCCATACGGATCAGCAGCAACCTCAATTCTTGTCTCCTCAGAAGAAAGAATCCAAACGAAGAGCAGAGTGAGAGACTGAGGCAAGTTTAGAGAAGGAGTGAAAATTTATTAAAAACTTCTCCCCTGATTATTCCCGTGGGGTGGGCTGTGCACATGCGCAGTGGCCCAGTAGCACTGGGGAGAGGCCGCACGCGTGGTGCATTTACAGGAGTTGTACGCATGCTCACATGAGGCGTTCTTCCTTTACCAGTCCAAATGTTATACCAGTTAAACTCCGCCATTCTGCCTCTCAGTGTTCATGCTTGAGCCCGCTTACCTGGCTCCTGAGATCTCATCGGGAACTGCTGATCAGCAATTGCAGGTGTTTCTGTGTATTGAGAGACTGCCTTTCCCTGGCACTGGCAGTGACCAATTATTTTAGAGAGATAGCTTAACAACTACCTCACCATCACTTGATGGTTGCCTGACATTCCTGATTGGTGAGGGAGAGAGAGAGGGGATCAGGGGACTCTCCTGCCCTGTTCCTGTCTGACTAGCTACCTGCTGTAACAATTATACTATTACTAGTGATAAACCTATCACTTGTGCCTATGACAGGGCCTTGCACAAGGTAGATCACCAATGATTATGGTTGGATTAATAAACAAGGCCTCTCTTATGCCCCCAAGAATAGCAGAGACGCTCTTCTCACCTCTTATTCAGAAGCTACTCTCAATTATATATAAGATGGTAAGATTAGTCAACTCACTCTCATCAGGTGGTTAACGTGCTAGTGGTTAATCCAATCCAGTTACTTGTTCCAATAATTAGACCCATGCTGGATGTGTTCCTTCAGCTCAGCCCTGCCTGCTCTGAAACTATTTCGGAACCAGTGGCTTTGGTTGGGCACTGGAAATACATAAAGAAGAAGACATACATGCTGTCTCAGGGTACTCGTGGGTCTCTAGCCAGGAGTCAGACGACATCACCACCATCACAAGCTGGTGATGCCAGAGAGGTGTGAATGGAGAACAGAGTTGAAATTCATATGGAAGTGACCAGTGGAGTTGTCAGGGACGTTTTAAAAAGAAAATAACAAGTAAACTGGGTTTTGACAAAAAATAAAATAGGGATTTATTTTCTGCATGTGAGTACATATCTAAAGTAGAAAAGTATAACAGTTCAAAAAAAAAAATACAGTTATGTGGTTCAGGTTAATGCCCACAGGCCGGAAGAAGGCTCAGAGCCTTCTCTGTGAGTGTAAAGTTTATCCAAGTCACCTTGGACACCATCACATTCTCTGCTTAAGCAAAGCTGCTTGTCAGAGGAGTTTCTGCATATTCTGAATATTCAGGGACTCTCCCGGCCCTGCAGGTGCCTCAGGAAGCCCTAGAGAGGAAACACATCCTCATTGGTGAAAGGATCTCACGTGGCTCTTGCCAAGGGTGAGCAGTGTAGAGGGAGCATAATAAACTCCCTTAGACAACATCTGATTTCCAACAGCTGTCCCACTTCCGAGGCTTCGCGCTTTCAGTGCAGCCACCGCCAATGCAATATCCTCCGGTTTAAGGTTAGGTACCAGAAATACTTCTGCCAGAAATTCTTGATGTAATCAAAATGGGATTTTCATGGACTTGCACAATTTTAGGATCTGGGAGAAGATCCTTACCCAGGCCTGCTTTGAGGCTGGCCCTCAGTGTGTCCCACAGTGAAATAACCCGACATCTGACTTTGAAGCCAGGTTCTTGGGTCAGTTCTTACCTTTTTGTGTGTATCAAAGAACTCCTCCAAATGCTTCCTTTCCCCACCCATCTGTCCCCACAAGACATGTACCCCAATGCCCTTAACTTGTTCTTAAATGAGTAAACAAAGCTTCAGTAACATATAAACATGATTTATGAAAACAAATCTCTCCCCAAATCTGCTTAGAGAAGCAGTGTCACATAACTGTAAGCAAAGATGAAAGACCACGATTAACAGGGTCCACATCTGTTTGGGGGAGGACGCCACTTGAGTCTCTGTCAGCCTTTACCTCAAAGAATGTGTACTCTAGGTCGATAATGAAACTCGCGGCCCATCTGTCTTCTGGTGTGCCCTGTGCTGTGCTGAGAACTTCTCATCCACTGGATCTCATGGAGGTTCACAGTCATGTGAAGAGGGGGTCTTGTCTTCACCTGCATCTTGCAGGTGAGTGGACAGAGATGCGGAAAGCATGAGAGCTAGTGCAGAGAAGAGCTGGGGCACCAGCAGTAGGACTGGAGGCAGGACAATGTCTTAGATTACTACCTGGATGGACAAACTACACAGATGAAGATTTGAAAAACAACAACAACAAAAAAAAAACCTGGACCTGATTTATAAAATTGAGATGTCTCCATTGATCCAGTTGCTTGCATCATGTGTTAATTCTCTGCTGTTCTCTTTCTCATGTAAGCACCACCTGTCCTCCACATTATGATATGAAGCTGAAGATCCACCCCACTAGGTCAACGGGGACACTAATTGGGGAATATTTGAGGTGCAGAGAGGAGGAAGATGCTACATCCTGTGAACCTCAGTAAGGGGGATGCCTCTGTGTGTAGGGATGTCAAGGCCCTGGCCCTGTGTCATCCCCAGACAAGCCCTGTATCACCCTGGGAGCTCTGCAAGGACAGAATCTGCGTGACACTTTGGGAACTTCTAGGATGCTAATCAGAGGTCTTCTCCTCTGAGTCCTCAAACAAATGAGCAGTAGACCCTAGGGTCAAGGATGGATGAAAATATCAGCATGGTGGTTTGCAGAGCTAGATTGGATCTGCAGAGAGCCCAAGGCTCCCTGTCTTCCTCTGCCTAGTCTCCAGCCACTGAGTCCAGGCAGCTGCGTGCCCATTGTTTCTGGGGGCAGAGACAGAACCGGGCCGTAGACTTGCTGTGGGGAGGGATATCTGCCATACGGAAGCAGAAGCCAAGAGCATCTTTCCCCTGTGGTCCCTAAAGGAAAAATTGAGGAAGACCACAGGGAATAGCAAATCTTTCATAGCTTAAGACACCCATAGACATCAGACTCTTTTCACCCTTCCCAGCAGCTGTCCTTCAGGAAAGACGAAATGGAGTGGGAATTTTTCCCCCAATACTTTCAGGGCAGAAGTCATCATTTGCTACTATCTGAATGTTTGTGTTTTTCCCAAATTCCTATAAGGAAATTCACCCCCAAGGTGTTGGCCTTAGGAGGTGGCGCCTTTGGAAGGTGATTAAGTCATGGAGATGGAGTCCTCATGCATAGGATTAGTGTTTTTATAAAAGAGGCCCAAGAGAGATCTCTTTTCTTTTCCACCATGTGAGAACACAACAAGCAGTCACCATCTATGAACCAGAAAACTGATTCGCCAGACACTGAATCTGCCAGCACCTTGGTCTTGGACTTCCCAGCCTCCAGAAATGTAACAAATAAATGCCTGTCATTTGTGGGCCACTCAGTCTATAATATTTGGTTAAAGCAGCCTTAATGGACCAAAACACCATTCCTGTGCCCATCAGCAGCATGAAGAATAGGAAATGATGTCTTCCCACTGTAGGTGTCACTGTTGACCTCCGTCACACCTTCTTGCATCCACACCCTTGCTGTGGCCTCATCGCGGGTGGCATATGCTTCTCTGACTCTGGGCTCTGAGGTTGGCTATATGATTTACTTTTAGCCAATGGAATGTAGATGGAGACAGGAGGGTGCCAATTTTGGATGAGGCATTTAGAAGCCCTTGGGTTTCAGTAGACCCTCTCATGCCTCTGATATCACCATGCAGAGAACATGCCCCAGTTACCTCTCTGGTCCAAAAAGTGTGAGAGACAGGTGGAAAGAGACATGGTAGACACCCTAACAATCCCAGATGCAGAGCTGCTTAGTCAAGACCATTCTAGATCATCCAAGTCCTAGCCAACTCATAGACATCCAGGTGGTAATGCAGGATTGCTGCTTAAGTCCACAAGTTTTGGGGCTGTCTGTTATGCAGCAACAACTAACTCATACACTTACCTTTCATATTTATTTTGGAATCCCCCAGGCCTAGCAAAAGTCCCAGAATAGTGTAGGTGCTCAAAAAGTATTCGTTGTTTGAATGAATGAATGAAAACTCCTTTTTGTAAACCAGCTCATCATAATGTCTCACTAATGGCTGCCTTACATTGCAGTATTTATCTCTGTGATTTTGGAGGGATAATTTAAAAACAAAAACAAAAAAACAAACAAACAAAAAAAAAAAAAAAAAAACAAGGCAAGACAGTAACCTCTCTTGATATGAGCTGCCAAGCATTTAAAGTCCTAGGAGTCAGAGATCACCTGGCTGTCTTCAACATCACCTGCAGGCAGCTGGTGCATCACACACTATGGTGTGATGAAGCCAGCCTCCTTCACCCCCCTCTAAACTCCGACGGGAAGAAATGACCCAACATGGCCATGCATTTATCTGGAGTCAATGCTGATTCTGACTGCATGACCACCTTTACCCTCAGGCATGTGAGTCCCATCAGAGAGGTTGCTAGTATGATATCAGATCCACTTTTCTTCCTATTTTTCAGAGGAAAGGTTCCAACACATCCGAGGAAACACATGCCTTCCCAGACTGGCCTGATGCTGTTTCCCAGGAGCTGCATTCTGGAAGGTGGACCATCAGGTGGAAGAAGTATTCTTCAGAGAGCTGCCTTCCCAAGGGAATGGTGACAGCTTGCGCTTGCCGGGGAGTCCTGCTGCCTTCCGAGGTGTGAAGGGAAGGCATGCACTGTGCATATGCTGTACCATACAGTTTTGCCTACAACTGCTTATAGCTTCATTGTAGCTGTGAATGCTCTGTTCCTCTCCTTTTCACCCCTGAAGATTCGCGAACATGCAGGATTGAGCTGTGCGAGGCATAGCATTCCCCACATGGTAGGCAAAGGAGGATGTGGGTCTGACGGCTCTACCGCCGCCCACCCGGGTGAATGGACATGTGTTCCGGGGTATCAGAGCTTGCGGCTGACCAGCCGACGTGTCCACAGGCAGCCCTCCCACTGGCTGTGTCGACATTTTGGGTTTCATTGAAGGATTTTACTGGTACAGACTTTACAAAGGCAAAATTGTTTCTCAAGGAAGTGGGCATGAAAGATCTCAAATCAGAGGCTGCTAAAAATGAGAGGCCATCAGTTGCAGAAAAGCAAGCACAGATTAATGACCTATCTATGTCCTACACGGTTTTAGGACTGCGCCTAGATGGGCTTAAAGACCCTAGCCTAAAAACTATAAATGTGCTTCCGTTTTTGCCCTGTAGGACAAGAAAGCCTTACAGACTTGCTTCTAACTGTGAGAGGAGCAGAGGCCGGGAAGGGAGAGGGAGAAGAGGAGGAGAACAGGAGACGAGAAGGAGGGGAGAGGAGGGAGGAGAACAGGAGACGAGAAGGAGGGGAGAGGGAGGGGAGGAGGAGAGAGTCTTGTCAAAATCTTTTTAGTGCACAAAACTAATTTTGTTCATCTTGGATTTGGTGAGCTGGATAATATTCTGCGCACAGCTCCTAAATGAATTATTAAATGTCAACTCAAGATGGCTTAACTAAAATACTCAATTTAATAACCAAAAGTATCGAAGGTAACAACAACAATTTTGCAGGTGATTGTAGAGTTGTCAAGTCAAACCATTATAGACAAGCATTTGGGGTTTTCACATAATCTCCTTCCACATCTCATCTTCTGTCACTAAATACCCACTCTGGTGAGCATATTCCATTTCAATAAAGATCATCCCTTCGGTGCCAGCTTCTTTTTATTCAGATTGAGCCAGAAAACCTTTTTTTTTTTTTCTAAAATATAAAGCTAAACAAGATCTCAGTCACAACCACCAAATCTTTATTAATGCATTCCTTGTGCTACTTCTGAATATTAATAAAAATTAATAATTAATTTTGCCTTTGGCATTGCAAGATATACTAGTTTTAATTAGTGTACTGTACTCCTATACAATTAAAAAATAATTGATGTCCACGCTTATTGGCGGTGTCTGTGATCTTCCTTTCTGTTGTTGTCAACAAATGCCTTAAAAAACAAGTTCAAGAATGTTGTGCTGTCCGCTTGATTTACACACCCAAAGTAACAGGCAAATCTTTTATGATGAAACAGAACAGTTTTCTGTTTAAATTATACACAAGTATATTAACTAGAAAGAGAAAATTAAAAGCTGATGGCTACAAGGAATAATGGAAAGTCTATAAAAATGTTTTATCTATCAACAAATTTGCTTGGAAAATATCAATGGTTGGCACCATCTCTCCGCTGAAACATGGAGAGGCCATCTTGGATCTGTTATGTCAATTCCATCAAGCATTTAATTCTGACGTCCTCCTTAATCAGCTTCAGTTATTTAAATTCAGCATATCATGTTACTGTTCTACTACATCATTTTAATTGTGCCATGAACTACTTTATTATAGAATGCTAAAGTATTTCCCTGTGCCTCCTTCTTCCTCTTTCTGAACAATGCCGACTGTAGAGAGACAGCCCATGGTGAAAGGAGGGAAATCGCTTCCTTTGAAAATATTTGTGTCAAGAATCTTGCATAGAGAGAGGGTGGTGGTTGTTTTAGCAAGAAATAATTCAAATCCCACAGCACATGTTTCTTAATTTTCTTTCTCTGAGCCAGGATTTTTATTTTTTATGAAATCTCCATTGAACAACTACAAATGTATCTGTAATACCAAGAGGTAATAGGCTAAGAGGAAAGAGACTTAGGAAAACACACGGCAAGGAAGAAAGAGTCAATGTGAGATGTGGATTTCACACTTTACCCTGGACTCACTGGTTAATAAAGATGTTTAAGGCAGAAAAATCACAAATTGACACAAATTTTTATCATATTCGTGATCTTAATAGCAATTTTGTTTTTTTTTTTAAATCTACTCTACCAAAATATCTGTCCTAAAAATGTAATCTTTGGTTTATTTTTCATAAAAGAATTGGCTTCAGAGAATTTATCACAATCTAAAATCATCTTGGCCCTGTATCTGTTTACTTGTTCATAATCTGCATCTCCTCCTAGGTCCAAGTGCATGAGCCCCGGTGCCTGACTGTTCCCTTCACAGCTGCACTCACAGTGCCAAGCACAAGCTCTAGCAGAGCACTGGCATTTCACAAACATCCGTGGAATGAATGTATTAATTCTGACTCAAAATACGTTTTTATTCTTCCCCTTTATAGAGTCTTCTAAATTTTCTTTTCCCATGCCCATCAAAATGTGAATGGATTAACCAGCTGTGGTCTAACTGGAGAATGTCCATTACTCAGTGATAAAAAAAAATAAGCCATGAATACACACAATACCACGTATGAGTCTCAAAACAATGGGTTGAGCCATACAAGCCAGCTTCCAAAGAGTCTACACTGTAGGATCGAATGCATATGGAGTTGCAGAGCAGGGAAGGCTAAGCTGTGGTGAGAGAAATCAGAACAGAGCACACTTTCTTCTCAAGAGAATCTCCTCAAAAAGAGGCATGAGGGAACATTCTGGGGTCATGGAAAAGTCATAGAGCTTGATCAGGCTGATGTTTGCATGGATATTATACGTGAAACTATACACCTAAGAGCTGTGCATGCATCCTATGTTAATTACATCTTAATTTTTAAAATCTTAGTAACACACATTTTTTTTTTTTTGTAGTTCATTGGCAATGGAAGGAGGAAATGCAGAATATGAATACGGTTAAGAGGCCCTGGAATTCCTGTTTCCATATCACTACCTCCCTCCCTCCACAGATTCAGGGAACAGTGCTACTAAGCAGCAGAGTTGACAGATGTTCTTACAAACCCCCCCTCCGCCCTGATGCATTTTCCTACCTGGCTTCACCCCGCCCCTGGAGGCTGTAACAGGTCTCTCTCACGCACAGGTGATGAAGGCAGGGGTTCCTACATTGCAAGCACGCCGTCTTGGATGCAGGGAAGCACCCAGCTCCTCTGCCAGAAGCTGTGAATAACACTCTTAACAGTCCATGCAAATGCTGTGGTCTATGTCTGCATGCCCAGCTGGTCTGCTGATCAATTTTTACTTCTCAAATTGGGTCAGTGAAAAAGGACAGCGCTTTCTGTTCCCGCGATCTAAATTCTCAATGTGATCTAAATTCTATTAACACTGGGGAACCTGAAAATTCCAAAGCAAGCCTTTAGCTTCACTGGGACCACCTTTCAGAAAGGCCTATTGACCTATTTTCTTTTTAAACCTTCCATTTCTTTTAATTAAAAGGCTCAAATTTCCTGGATGTTAATCAAAGATTAGCTTGAGAATTAAAATGCTGTGCATCACTCAGAAAAAGAACCAAGTCTAATGGTGAACCACACTCCTCTCCTAATCAGTCCCAAACCACCTCGAAAGGGCCTTCTATGCAACTTCCTCATGTCTGTGAGAGGAACCAAGTGCGAAGGCTTCCTGCTGTCATGCTCCGATGGGGAGATGAGCTGTGGAGCTAGGGTAGCCTTTGGGGATTCTCTGTTGACTTCCTGTAAGAATTGGATCTTCTCCTCTGACTGCACCTGAGAAGTCCTGATTTTCTCATCCTGATTTTGCTTCTCTTTTCCTTTACTCATGGGTGATGGGTCCATATTCGACCAAAGGGTCTAGGCATCGCAGCTGGCCTTGAGCTTTCTAGTCCACTGTTTTCGATTGGCTCCTGGGGTGCATTGGAGACCTGAGGGTATCTGAACTGCAAAAGTGAGTTCCACACCTGGCACGAACGCTCTTGGTCTGTCCAGAGCTGTCCCTTCCACAAATCTCTGTCTGTTGTTGTCCCTCAGGTTCACCTAGGAGAGCCTAGGTCATGCCTCAAGGACACTGAATGGCAAACAACACAGCCTCTCTGGGCAGTGCAGGCCTCTAAGAATGACTGTCATTGCATGCAACGTGGGGACATTATCAGGGAGTAGACGAGATGCTGCCTCCAGCCAGAGGCAGAGGATGTCAGGGACAGCGTGTCCCGCAAGAGTGAAACTCAGGCTGCATCCTCAAGGGAGGGATGATTTCAGGTGGAGGAGGATGTCCTGGGCTTCGCAGGCAAAGGAATGTTGTCTGATGAAAGAATAAGAGCTGCTTTCTGAAAAGCAGTTTTTCCCTGAAATTCAGACATTCCCATGCTGGCTTCACGTGTGTTGCCATCTCGCATCCCCTCTGAGCACAAGTGGCCTCCCCAAAGCTTGCTGCAGTCAGGGCAGACAGGAGGGACACACGGAGAGCTGTGGGTGGCACCAGCCACTGTGCAGATCAGGGAAGAGCGTCAGAAGGTTCCACTGCGCGTCTCAGGTCTGCCCGCTGCTCTCTGTCTTTGTGCCCCATCTGTGAGTGGGGCCTGTGGGGTTGGACTCAGGGAGTTGTTGTGAAGGCTGATGAGGCCCATTGCACCGTGTCCCTTAACATGTTGTAAAGGCTGAATGTTTGATAGCCATTATTAATCATTTTGTAGGTTAGAATCAAAGGATAATAATTTTTGCCTTAAATAAAAAGCCACAAAAGGGTGACTTTTAAAGAACAAGAAACAAGCACTTTGGGAGGCGGAGATGGGTGGATCACTTGAGGTCAGTAGATCAAGACCAGGCTGAGCAACATGGTGAAACCCGGTCTCTAATAAAAATACAAAAAACTTTAGCTCACCGTGGTGGTGCACACCTGTGATCCGAGCTACTTGGGAGACTGAGGCAGGAGAATCACTTGAACCTGGGAGGCAAAGGTTGCAGTGAGCCAAGATCACGCCATTGCACTGCAGCCTTGGCAATGAGAGCGAAACTCCATCTCAATAAATAAATTAATAATAATAATTATAATAAAAAATAAGAAACAACAAAAAGTCACAGAATCATATACCCAGGCCACTCCAGTCCCTGTTTTCTTTTCCGTCACGCAGCCCCATCCTCAGTCAACTCTGCCTTATCCCGACCGCTGAGTCTCACTTGCCCTCTCTCAGAATGCAGTGTCCTCTGCTGAGCCCATTTCAGTCAAAGTCACCTTTAAAGAAGTTTGTTTTAAATGGACCCAAGACCAATGCCCCAACTGCAATACTGTTCCCACCACAGTGTAGTTTAGTGCATGCCCTTGGAGGCTTCAGCTTTCACTGCTCGCTCTACTCTCATGTCACCAGGGGCGAGGTTGGCCTTCTGGAGTCTACAGCTCTATGTGTCCCCAGCAGGGTGGAGCTTATTTAGCAATGGCATCAGGCTGCAATGTAGGCTGAAACACACATACCGCACACTGTGTGTGTGAAATGCTTTCACACGCGTTAATTAGTATGTGAGCTCTCCTCTGCCCTGGAGATGAAGGCTTTTTTTATGAATGTACCTTATTTTGCTTTATTTGGTAATAAATTCTTTAAGACTGGGGACTTGGTCTCATCCTTATGATCCCTGACAATACCTAAGTGTCCCTTGTGCATTTTAGATAGTCAATCTGTCTATATATATATATATATATATATATATATATATATTTAGACAGAGTCTCACTCTGTCACTCAGGCTGGAGTGCAGTGGCTCACTGCAACCTCTGGCTCCCAGGTTCAAGCAGTTCTCCTGCCTCAGCCTCCCGAGTAGCTGGGATTACAGGTGCGTGCTGCCACACCCAGCTACTTTTTGTATTTTTAGTAGAGACGGGTTTTCACCATGTTGGCCAGGATGCTTTTGATCTCCTGACCTCATAATCCACCCGCCTTGGCATCCCAAAGTGCTGGGATTACAGGCATGAGCCAACGCGTCCAGCCTTATTTATTTTACTTTGTTTTTCCATAAGTTACTGGGGTACAGGTGGTATTTGGTTACATGAGTAAATTCTTTAATGGTGATTTGTGAGATTCTGGTACACCCATCACCTAAGCAGTATACGCTGCACCATATTTGTTGTCTTTTATCCCTTGCCCCCTTTCCACTCTTCCTCCCAAGTCCCCAAAGTCCATTACGTCATCCTTACGCCTTTACGGCCTCGTAGCCTAGCTCCCACATATCAGTGAGAACATACGACGTTT